GCCAGATCCGCACTCAGTGGACACTGTCCCCTCTGAGGGGACAGCACCGGGCACTGCTCCCCACACGTGGTTGGGGTGTGCACCCCAAAGCCGGCCCTTCAGCAGGGCAGGATTTCCCCTCCCATGTGAGGCAGCAGGAGGTTTGCAGTACACGCTGGAGCCATGCAGAGAGGCAAAGCAAAGCTCTCAATAAATGATGCAACCCCAGCAGCAGCAGATCCTCGTTCACTCATTTTTTTCCTCCCTTTTTTCTCCTACAAAAAATTAAGTCGCACAATCCAAGCCAACTTGCTCATAGTAACCTTTGCCTTAAAAAGAGAAGACAAACATTTTGTAGTTAATTATATAGGAAGTAATGATTAAGAAAACACTGGTAGAAAGAGAGCGTTTCCTTTGTAGGCATGTGAAGGCTGCTCATGTCAGACCTCGGCACTGCTCAGGTCCTGCTGTGCACGGACAAGGTCTGCGATCGCTGCTGGTGGGGACGCTGACCACGGGCCTGCCATTAGAAGCAGCAGAAGCATTTGATCAGGAGAAGGAAGGAAGCACAACCACCAGCGTACCTGGCCTACAAAGCAGTCACCAGTCTCAAAGCTCCTTCTCTTCAGGTTAAGGCCACTTCCTTATAAGCCTCGTGCAATCATGTGAACGTGGAATTTTATCTGCGGTTCACAGCAAGCACTGCCCTCAGCCTGAAGTTTGTGTCCAAATCCAGTTCTTTGCAATTCTTTTGTCTCCTGAATGCCTTTCATCCAGACTCTTCCTAAAAGAAAAGCAGCACTTCCTTCTCTACCCCCATGTCCTGTCTCCCATTCCAGCCGCACAAATCAACTCCCGAAACACGGGGATGGGTAGAAACGAGGCGCAAGTCCCTGCATGCAACAGCCAGGAACAAGGAGACACGTGCAGGAAACACAACAGGACTTAAACTGACTTCTCGCAAGACAACGCAGACCACAGTGGCGTGCAGGCTTCAGGCCAGGGGGGTCTGCAGAGCCTGTGCCCCTCCTGTA